ACACAGACTCTAAGCTTCCTGTACTCCAGTGAATGCTGTTTCTTCCAATGACTGGGCATGCAGGAAGCACCTGTGCTTCGTCCTAGATATATGCGATGGTGGTGAAGACTTTCCCTCTATCAAGAGGGGTTATTCCAGACCCCACAGCCACTGGCCTCTCCTGTCACCCCCTGTCAGTGGGTGACATTCACTGCTCCTGCTTACGCCGGTTCCCCAGCGGTGCGGAGACAGCAGCTATGCTCTGCTGAGAGGAGGCATGACAGGTCCCGTTCCGAGCAAGGTTGGCAGTGGAGATGTGGTTCTCCCCCGAGTACTTGGTGGCTGCCCAGCCCTGCTGCAGACTCTGCGTGTCTGCACGTGTTGTCTGACTCCTAACGCCACTTGGCAGGTAAGGGCACATTTGAATTACTACCAAATGACAGCTTTATCCAGTATAACTACTTTGATTTTTCAAGTTGACTATAGTTTGTATCATTGACTTCAGTTCAAGCCTTTTGCCTTTAACCTGTTCTATAAATACTTTTGGCCATGAAGTCTGGGTCTGGGTCAGAGTGCTTACTTTGCGCACATCTTTTGTATTTTCAGTTCCGCTTTGGAAGGAGGAGTGAAGTTTTTCTGAGCTAATATCACACACGTATGTAGAAACCCAGCATTTTGAAGGTAGCACTGGAATGGCATGTTGTCACAGAGCAAGGAGTTACTGCTATATAAAGACAAAATAAATACAGGAAGAAAGTCGATAAAGCATTTTATAGAGAACAGTGATCTGACTGCTTGAGCTCAAAGAAATGGATTGTATATAATGTATGCAGTAAAACAGTTCTTCGTGTTGTGCAGTCTTACTTAACTGTGTGTAATGCATGAGGACTGCTGCTACTGGGTTTCACACAGAATGAGGCCGATTATGTACTTTAAGTATTTTAAAGGATTGTGCTTAGATCTAGAGTCTGCAGGACTGATTGCTACCTTCTGAATGCCAACGACAAAGCCTGTGTTTCAGCTAACTTGTGGGAAAACTATCCATTAAATAACCATTTAAGTTCACAAGACAAAAATGAAAAGACTTCTATCAGTATTCCGTAGTAAATACAATGCCATGGACATACTTGAATGTGTTTCGAGTTTTATTTCAAATAGAAAGGCTTACCTGTCTACCCCATAGTCCATGCAGTATTCTCAAAATAGGTACTGGTTTAACTTTTCCTTTTTTTTTTTTTTTTTTTTTGTTGTGGCTAGAGAATTACATGTCTCATCAAAACTACCTCCTAATCACTAAAAGAAATATTCCCCACATGCATATTTGTTACGCTTACACCCTCTTCAATGCTAGCAAAGGACATTAGCTCTGAAAGTTTGATACATGCCTGTTAATTTACACCATGGTACCTGTTAAGCATCACAGATAAAGACATATTTGCTTATGTTAGAGCCTGGGAAATGATGTGAACACAGTGGTATGGAGGAAGAATCCCACTGTACAGGAAGCGGAGTATCTTGTGAAGAGCAGCTGGCATAACTGGAATGCAAGTACGGATGTTGCCAGTGTTTGACATACTATACAATCACCTGGAAATTAGTTTTAACAACCAATTCAACTTCTTTGCCCAGAGATTCAGATACTTGTTTCATATTTCAGAGGTAGTTCCCGAAACTATAGTCCCACTAATTGCTTTGAGTTTCTCAGGAGAGAAACAGCTGTTGGAATTTAAGAACAAAGTTCACAAAGCCCCAAGTTTCTTGGCTGGAAATGCTTCCAAGTTGCCTGCCTAGGTATTAACTACTTGCCACTTTCAGCTCCAAGTGTTTCTTACGTAGCTTTATGCTGAATACTGTCCAGTTGCTGGAGCTGGTTAATAATTGAAAAGAATATTTTGAAGCATTCCCATTAGAATTGGAAAATCAATTTACTGTTTCTCTCCAGTGGTTGCTGGTTACAACCTGTCACCAGGTTACTCTTGCCACGCTGGGGTAATTTGCCCAAACCTGTCACATCTCTTCATGTAAAGTAAGTTGGTCACCCATTTATTTTGCTGTCCTTCTGATTCTTCAGTACCAACTTCCAGTCTAATAGGCTATTTCAATTTATGCTTCTATTTAAAATAGACGTATATCCCTCTTCCAGTTTAATGCAAGCAATGCCTGCCAACTATTAAAATTTTCCAGTACGCAGTCGAGAGGCTTCCGCTTCTAACTGCTGGTTGACAAATGAATCCACAGCGTATGGCCTATTTATGGTGCTCATAAAAATGCTCCCATATTAAAAAAAAAAAAATATTGCCCAGACTTCCCCTAGAAGAGATATTTTCCCACAGTAGTACAGTGTCTGCTGTACAGATTGATTTTTTTTTTTCTTAAAATAAAAATATGATAAGTTTTATGGAGGCAAAGAGAGAGCAGACTTAGCTGCAGAATTAAGTACTGGATTGGGGTTTGTATTTTTGTAGTGCTGGTTTCCAAGTGAGCTCGTAGGTTTGCTCAGGGAAGGACGGTTTTCTAGACAGCATCTAGACATAACTTTGTGAGCCCAGCTCAGCAGAGGCAACTGCCTGGATACACAGGGGAAAAAAAGCATCCCGACTGTGGGAAGAACCAGGCGTTACTCGGCTGCGTACAACTCCCTTCTGATCTTTTCTGGGGACATGAGCAGTGTTTAGGACAGCTTTGGGAGGACCTGCTATTCACTGACATATTTTACAGCCCTTACCTAAAAACCAACCCGGAGCATATGTTTAAACACTTTGCTGTGCAAGCAGCCCTGCCATCTCTTGAAGCTTAAGAGGTCTACCCTTGAGCTCAAGCGCTTTCCTAGACTGGAGCCTTACTGAGCAATGAGAATGTCTTGTATGGAAAGTTGGTGTGTTCTTCCATAACACAGCATAAAGGTGGCCGCCTTCTCCCCTTCCCTGCTGCCCGAGCCGCGCGGGAGGTCCGGTCTCCCTCTGCCCAGACGTGTGGAGCCTACTGTCATTTCAGGACCTGGGACTCAGGTCACCCACGTCTGCCCCTGTGACACCTCTGGCAGTTCAGGATGCAGAATTCCAGCTGCTCAGGAGATGATGGTGAAAACGTTTTCACTGTTTAAACAGCAAGAGCTGCTACACTGGAAATGCTGGGAAAGCTTTGCTTGGATGAAATATCCGCTCTCCTTTTACTGCCTGTAAACTACAGCATCCTAGGGGTTCTTCTCCTAGTCACTCCATCTGTGAGATGCGCAGTACAGGTGAATATGGCCGTACTTTCCCCGTCTGCCCACAAGATAAGAGAATTTAGGTTCATTTTCCATAACCTCAGTAAGCTTAAATGAATGCGGTTTGCTACCCCAAGTTAATCAATCAATCAGCTATGCCTGAGATGAGACAACTTCGTGTGCAAAACCATCCCTCGTACAAGTTGTTTCTGTGTGCCGGAAACATTAACATGTATTTTGTTTAACAGAAAGAAAAACTAAACGTAAATCACGTAACCCTTTCACGGCTACTTAAGGCAGCTATGATTGATGCACTCCTCTGTGGTCTCGTCCCTGAACCATATGGAACAATGAAGGGTAAATACTCCTAGCAGCACAGCAGTGCTGCTTTAGGGTCTGCTTTCATAGTTGTATAGATTAGCTAACACTGACAAATGATTACAGCCCATTTGCTTGTGAAAACACTTTCTTAATACTTTGACATATTACAATATTAAAAAACCCCATCAGCTTACACAGTGCCGTTACAGACTGCGCTGCTGGCGGAGAAGCCGGGATCTGTGACAATACAGCATTTGCTGCGGCTGTAACACCTTTTGAATATACAAAAATGACTGTTTGTACACGGTGCCATTACTCCGTTTGCTAACATTTACCCCAGAGAGGCACGTGGCTTACGCACACGGTGGCTCTAAGTTTCCAAAGCAATAATGTTACCTGCAAGACGTTTTCCAAATCGCTGCTGTCGCTGCTGTCAGATGCC